ACAGTACACATCTCTTTTGCTTTTTTCTTCCTTCCTTCCTTCCTTCCTTCTTTCCTTCCTTCCTCTTCCTTCCTTTTTCTTTCTTTCTTTCTTCCTTTTCTTTCTTTCTTTCTTTCTTTCTTTCTTTCTTTCTTTCTTTCTTTCTTTCTTTCTTTCTTTCTTTCTTTCTTTCTTTCTTTCTTTTCTTTCTTTTCTCTCTCTCTCTCTCTTTCTTTCTTTCTGTCATTCTTTCTTATTTAAGAATATGAAGGCTGAAGAGAAGTCATATAAGATTTTAGTTTAAGCCAGTTTCTTTTTTCTTGGAATTGTTGCTTCGTCATTTGGATAATAAAATATTTAAATGTTTGGACATACAAGGTTGGGTGTTTATTTTGTTTACAGTATATTAAAATTTATGCATTGATTTTTTTTGCCTTTTCTTCTTTTGTTTGACAGTTATGTAGTGTTTAGGTGGAATATTAAAAGAAGTAAATTTTATCCTCCAACATAAAACATTTTGAAGTTAAAAGTATTCATCACAAAGAGAGCACTATTATGTGTCTAAGTATGTGGCTTTTACAAAGTATGAGTTCACAAACTGAAAATTCAGTATATTTCATATGGTATGAGGACTTGCTAAAACTAGAAGTTTTTCAAGCTTTTGGTCAGAAAGAAGAAAAAGCTCAGATAAAAACAATTTGAATATGATGCTAAGTCCAGTCTTACATGGAAATTTTCTCACAATTTTCAGTTTTGTGAATTAAAGGGCTGTAACCTCCCAATTATTTAGACCCACTATTTTAGTGCAAAATCAGAAACTGTTTCCTTTTTAAACTAAATTGGCTGGCACACAAATATTTTAATTGAAGGCATATTATAGCTAAATGAGGATTGGAAAACAATAAATTGGAATGGAATACATGATGGTTACTTAATGCCAGGCATAGGGGGAGAAGGGAAGGGATCTGGATAAATATTAATCAAATGCTTAAGCAATGTTGCAATTGAGTGTGTAAAAAGAGGCCCACTCAGAGCCTCCAGGGTGTCTGAAGGTCTTTAGGAGGCCAAGACTGGGTTTCTTGATTTTAATTCTCGTAACTATATCCCATTATTTCTTAGGTCAGACCCAACCAGGGCATCAATCCCTTTATGAATAATTCTATGGAGAGTAAATCTCATAGATTCTTCTCCATTTCCTATCTGCAGTGGTCTTAATCTTAACTGATGGCAAAACACTTGGTCATTTAGTTAAGACTACCAAGCAGCAGGGGAGAAAACGAAGTGGAAGGTGAAGAATTCCATGTGCAAACAGTTGGTAGTATGGATATAAGGAGGTAACAAGAAATTCTCTTAAAATAATGCAGTGAAATTTACCAGAAATGGTATTGTTTAGTATAACTTTTCAGGCTGATGGTCGCCTGAATAGTGAATTACAAATAGAATCATAATTTTATATATCAAGAACACTATGATTTCCCGTGTATTTTTAAAAAGTGCCCCCAAACAGGCAGTTGTGCAGGGAACTGAGCAGCAACTGAGTGTTGAGTTGAACGGAGGATCAGACGGCGTTAAAAGAAACCTCGAGTTTAATATTCTCCATACCTATTCACAAATCTATCCACAACTTCCCATTTTCTGAATATTAACGGCCTCCGCTTTCTCTAATCTCTTTCTTGACGTCCCAGCAGGTTGCATTTGTTCCTCTCTTGTAGGATGTTAGTTATTCTTCCAATCTGATATCAGCGTTATAAAACTTTGACATTTTGTTTTGCGTTCTTTTGAGGATAAACTCTCTCACTTGTCCAGACTAGATTTCAGGTCTCTCAAAATTCCTAGGTACAAGAAAATTAGGTACTGAGTTCCGCCTTCTAAACAGCAATCTCTGTTCTGCGTGAAATGTTGATAAAAAGGCGGGATTTGCTTGGTCAAAGTAGGTCAGACGCACTCCAACTCATGGATATATTTTTAAAAACGCGGTAAAGTTATCGTGTTGTCATAATTAGGTGATCGGAATTTTGGTTTGCTGTCTTGGCATTTCTACCACTGTGAGAAGTCATTTAAAAATAGGGACCGGACTTTTGGGGAACTTAAACCCACTTTTTAGCTTTCCTGAAGGAGACAACTCAGCCGATTTCACTGTTTTTAATTCTGGAACGTGTTAACGGCCCAAATCAGCTTTCAACCCACTTAGGAACACTACAATTTTGCAAGCTCAAGGCCCAGGCTGGTCGAGAGACGCAAACGCCTTGGAGTGATGAGTCCAAACCACGTTCACAACTCAGGAGATGACTCCGCACTTAAATCTCTGCCCTCAGCCCAAGTGTGCCAGAGGCCGGAAGCTGAACCACGTGACCCGTCCTCCGCGGCCATTCCTACGGAGGCGGCTGTCACCACCCCTTTCACATTTCCTAGCTCCTCCGCCGGACGGCGAAGACTGACAGGAGGCGGTGCCATTTGGAATTGGACTGGAGTATTGCCATAGTTCATTCCTTTTCCAGCAGTGCTTTGCAGGCTCATTTCAAAGGAGGTGCGGAAGCCTTCCGCCTGGGTACCAACCACGTGATCGCGCGAGACTGGGGCAGGCGGCACTCGGACTTCACTACTCCAGTCCCAGGACTCCGCCCGCCCGGCACCCCCCACGGCGCGTGACGACGCGGCTCTCGCGGTGTCTTGCGTTCAGCCCCGCCCACCTCTGCCCCCGCCCTTTCCGCCCCTCCCTCTCTATATAAAGGGGAGAAGCAGGCGGACCGGACGGCTGGAGCTGCAGCCGGTGGCGGCAGCGGCGGCGTAGGGAGCGGCGACCGGTGGTTTCCCTCCTTTGCGCGGGGTGGGGAGCGGGTAACGCCCCCCAGACCCCCGAGGGTCGTGGCTTTTTTTTAAGGGCGATTCTCGAGGTTTTTAGCTCCGGGAGGACTGCCCCCCCCCCCTTACCGCTCTCCTCCACTCCTTCAGGATCCGATTTTGTTTAAAATTTTTACCCCCAATTTTGCGGTGGCTTGGGTCACCCTCCGGTGGTTTTTTTCTTTTTTTTAGTTTCGTTTTTATCTTTTCTCGGGGTTGCTCCCCTCTTGTTTGTGTTGTGTGTGGAAATGGCGAACTCGGCAAATACAAACACCGTGGTAAGGACGTGGTTCGGTGCCCGGCGGGGGCTTCGAT